TCTGTGGCAGAGTATACCTACTTACTTTAAGAGTTATTTCTAGACATGGTAATAATGGCTATTTGTCAATAATGAATTATACTGCTATGTTATTTTTCAATAACTATTATTGTAAACTATTGTCAGTTATCCTGTTATTCCGATGTTTAGGTTGTTTTGGATAAAAGCATATAACATGACCAATTGACAAAAAAAGTCGGATAAAGGTGTTCCACATGTATAGATACATGTATAAATATAGCTACAAGGAAGGATATAGAGTTGTTAAAACCACTAAATTTTAATCAATCTTTTTTTTCAAATTCTGTATTTCAGGAAATGGTTTTACTGCATCACAGGACAAAACTACTCATCTAGGAAGTCAAAGTTGGATTTGAAAGTAATTCTAGTGGTTTTGGAACATTTCATTTCAGTAAACATGCTTGACGGAAGAAAAAATAAGTATGGTGACAGTGGCAGTGCTTCCCTGGTCAAACTCTTTCACAATGAGCTCTACTGATACTAATATTATGATAATGACGAAGATGCTAATAATGCTGATGCAGCTGATGATGTGATCACAATTTCAAAGTAGGTGGCCAGGAACCAGAGAAAAGGGTGACAAGAAGGTGGGATGACGATAATAGTTTACGATGAAAGAGATCACATCGTCACATATATATGATGTTAATGGTGCGGATTCTGATGATGCTGATGATGCGTATGGTACTGATGAATCTGATGGTGCAGATGCCAATATCGATGTCGTGCCTTTTGTTTTGACAGGGGAAATCTTTATGGATACCGCTGCGCCCAGGGAGACTCAGGGGTTATGTGGGGACTCTCCCCCAGACTGGAGGGCCTACCCCACTAAAACCCTCCCGGGTTTCCCTCTCGCCGGTTGAGTCGGCGCCGTGGGATCAGTGAACATTCGCCACGACAACCGATGTCATGCCTGACCACCAGTCATCATCAACACCATCTGCACCATCAGAATCATCAGCACCACCAGCATCGTCAGCACCTTTAGAATAACCATCTTTAGCATCGTCAGCATCATCAGAATCCGCATCACAAGCGCCAACCGCATCATCATCACCATTAACATTATAATTGTATGTGACAATGTGATCTCTTTCATCGTAAACTGTTATCATCATCCCACCTTCGTGTCACCTTTTTCTCTGGTTCCTGGCCACCTACTATGATATTTTGAATCGTTTTTAAATTCCTTTTCTTTGTCGCTCTCTTTTTTCAAATTCAAATTCAAATTCAAAATTAAAATTTTTTCAAATTCTTCTATCAGTCCCCACTCTCTACTAAATTTCCGAAGCGTTAACATGTGCTCGCCTTCATGTACAATTCTGACCAGTTACTTATACCATTGAAAATCATTTAACCTAACTACTTATAAAACATCAGCATTTGTATAAATACAGGCCCTTTTACTTACCCCAAGTTTGCTTATGTTAAATGTTAATACGTTGCAAGGGAGTGTTTTTATACGATTATACCTATTTATATCTCATTATGTCTTGTTACAGCCTTTACACCTTTACATTACCTGTTCTTTTCCTTTTCTCTACCTTCTCTTTCTTTTTTCTACAATAAAATACATGCAGTTGATTTTAAATCAAATTTCAATGTAGGTGGTCAGGAACCAGAGAAAACGGTGATAAAAAGGTGAGATGACGATGAAAGTGGTCGCATCGTCACAAAAAGCATCATCAGCTGGAGATCAGCTGCCTCAGCATTATTAGTATCTTCGTCATTATCATCATTTTAATAGCAGTAGAGCTCCTTGTGAGAGTTTGTCCAGGGAAGTACTGCCATCATATTTATTTCTTCCGTCAAGCAGGTTTACTGTAATGAAAAGTCAGTCTGCTGCATTTTTTTAACATGAATTACTGAAAATCCAACATTGACTTACAACATCGTAGGACAAAACTACTAGGTGAATAACTTTGTCCGGATTTCGAAAAAAGTAATGAATTAAAATTCGGTGGTTTTAACAACTCTGTGTCAGTCCTTGTAGCTATAGATTTGGAACACCCTTGTCCGACCTATGAACATGACATAACAATGATAGTGAAACATGTAACAATGTTAGGGAATAAATATTGTGTAGTGTTACCACATGGTTACACTTGCCACATTTTTTGCAACTTTTACCTCGCGTAATGTATGTAAATAACTTTAGGCAAATTACATAACTTTTGAGGATCTTGAGATTTTTAAATTCAATTATATTAGCTATTGTAAATCCCGAATAGTTTACGAAACGCACACAAATTAGACAATAACTGGTGCAAACAAAATTAAATCAATCAATTACAGTTCTTGATACATTGATTTTACTTGAGTGTACTTCCTTTTTGTTACATTTAGGTTTTAGGCAGTACTGCCAAATCTTTGCAAAGTTAACTTGCCAATTTATGTGTGTTAAATAGCCGATATTCGCTCAAGCCAAAACAATTCTACAATTTTCTGCTTGCTGACGAAAGTTGGGGAATATGAACTTTATAATTCCCCAATTCCCCACACTTAGAAATACTCAACCCCCAAACGAGTTGTTTTACAACTCCATTCCGCACAAAATCCCCAATCAAGTTTGTAATTCCTCAGACGTTTTATTAAGTAGCCTAAAATCGCTTTTTCCTATTTCGCCGTAAATAAATATTGCCGAGTCGTCGATCGCTTCTTTAGTCGCCGCATGACCCCTCGAAGTAGCCTAAATGGCGAATAATCGCCCACTGATTTTAGGTGTACATGTTAACGGCAATGTGTATAATTCAGGTATTCTATAGAGTGACTAGTTATTCTATGCAGTACGAGGCTTATGTTTAGGCAATGTATATAATAGTTAATACTTCTTAACTATTATACATATATAGGTATTTATAAAGGTTTATATAATTTACAATTACAATTTTTTATTAAAAAAAACTTGTGTGTGAAGTGTAACTTGTCAGGTAACGAAATGTAATTTTCGTCGGGACGGAGATCGAGAGTGGACCCCCAGTGACGGATAATGGCGTTAACGCAACGAAAACAAATCTGTTACATCCGTTACTGTTATAATGTTATTGCTGTTGAGAAAATATATTAGAAATTAAAGCACGACGACAAGTGCATTTAGCTTTTGTACACAAGTTAGTTATGCTCTGGAAGCCCAAACATATTTTTGACAGATTAGACTGGATTACGAACGTTCATAGTATGAAAACACGACGAAGATGTCGTCTTACAGAACAACTGGCTACAAGGATAATCTGAAGTATTACGTGACGAAAATTTGGAATGACTTACCACCACCTCATCATCATAATCATAACAGCTCCCATTGCTTAGTTAAGATGCACACGAAAATTGAATTATTATCAATGTAACTTCTGCCTTGCTCGCCAGTACAGTGACAAGTTACTAGTAAAACGTGAAGTCGTCTTAGCTAAGTGAGATAAACTGTTTTCCCTCTTTTTTCCCTTGTTGGTAGAGACAGCGGACAAGGACCGAACGTGAATGTGATTGGGAATATTGTACGGTTTAAATATTATCTTTAGATAATCGTTAAGAGTCAACAAGACCAGGATGAAAATCAGTACCGCATCGCACACAGCCACGAAGGATTGAAGTGAGCTTATTCCTTCTACGGATTGTAGATGTTGGTATATGACCTGTTTTCTATAATTGTGTGTGGTAAATAAATGATTGGAATGGTTGATTATAACCATTAACCAATAAACCAAAAAAAAATATTGTTTTCGGCACCAGTTGTATTTAAATTGATTTATATAACTGCCTGTTAATATCAAATATTAAAATCGACAATATTCTAATTACGTAAAGCACAAATAAAAGAGCTTTAACAATACGATAACACATAACAATAAAATATATAACATGAGAAAGGTTACTTTACGTGCACTGAAAAATTATAATTGTAAGATTATCAAATTTGTAGTATCGTCAAATCATTTGAGTCGTGCCATTTCTCTCACAGCTACTTGCTAGTTCGCAAGACGTTACAGCAGAATAACAGAATAACAACAGCTGTTTAGATAAGAATAACTAACGCATTACATAATCTGTCATTGTAATAATGACCATTTTTAGTTATTTGTATTGCCTCAGGCGTCTCATACTAATTAGAGTAAAATAAATATTTTTAACATAATAACCTATTTTTAACATAATAACCTTTCCTTAAAATGTGGTACATTTAGGCAGTATATTATTTTTCCATCAATGTTCTGTATTGTTTTCAGAGAAACGATTTTTTAAAGCAGTGCAAGTTGGAAACTTACAAGAGCTGCGCAAGTAAGTGCTCTCCCTATTACAATGCAAATTGCCCGTTACTTCATTCCGCTCACGCGATACACGCAGCCGTAGATGCATGCCGCCACAGAGCGTTGCGCGATTCATGCGTCTCTGGAAGCATACCACATCTAGAGGTGCCGGTGATGATTTTATACCGATTTATCGGATATCAAAGTTATTTTTTACAGGTAAAAGAACTAATATTAATTGCTATTTCGGTAACTACTCTAGCAAACCATAAAGTTTTTAATGCCTGGGTCTGTCATTTAAAAAAAAAACAACTTCAAAAAATACGTCACGACAATCGTGTGTTATTGTTTGGGCTGGTGATTTCGGTGTTTATTTATTGAAAACATACCGTAAATAGCGTTTTTTAAATTTACCCTGAATATAAATGTTTATAAACTATACTTTAAGGAGTAATTTCATGGTAAACATTAGAACCACTCAAACGGAGTATTATCATATTTATCCAAGTACACCAAAAATTTCATTAGTGCTTTTTAAGTGCAGGATTTGCGGTGTATTATTGCATTTTATTTGAGATGTTTTTGTTGGTAGTACGGAGGGTATTTATTTAGCAATGCAGAATAATAATTTTTATTTATAAAAACTTGTATTTAAACTGAATGCTTTTCTAATTTGCGAAACCAGATAGCCGCCATTTTACGGTAGGTTTATCTTATCCTTTAAGGGCCGCGTAGATGGGGGTAGCGCATCGCGTGAGCGGTTTATATTTCCTTCAAAACATATAAAGGTGATCTACGATGGAATTCAATCATTTATTTTTCAAACTTGAAGTAAAACTTTTAACACGAAAGACGCTAAGCGCGCACAGTGCGGTGTCGGCAGTTTAACGAGAAGCGCGCGTTTCGCAGGCAAGTAGAGGCCGCCGGCGGCGGCGGCGCGGGAGAGGGCGCGGCCGACCGGCGGCACGCGCTGGGCTGGACGGCGCTGATGGTGGCGGCGGCCAACGACCAGGTGGCGGCCGTGCGCGAGCTGCTGCGCCTGGGCGCCAGCCCCGACCTGCAGGAGCGCTACGCGGGCGCGGCGGCGGCGGCGGCGGCGGCCGGCCTGCACCCGCTGGACGCCATGCAGCGCCGCGAGGAGGACTTCTGCCCGGGCATGAACTCGCGCGCCTCCTTCCTGGGCTGGACGCCGCTGCACTACGCGGCGCTGGCCGACTCGCCGGCCGTGGCGGGCGCGCTGCTGGACGCGGGCGCCGACCCCACGCAGCGCGACCACGCCGGCCGCCGCGCGCTGCACTACACGCGCGACCCCTCGCCCACGAGGGACCTCATCCTGCAGGTGCCTGCGCCGACGCCGCCCGCCCCCGCCCTTCGCCGCCGGCGCACGCGCTCACTTTGTTTCGTCGGCAGCACACGCGGCGCTGGGAGGAGGCGGAGGCGGCGGCGGCGGCCGAGGAACGGCGCCGGTTCCCGCTGGAGCAGCGGCTCAAGCAGTTCATCGTCGGCCAGCAGGTGAGTGCCCGGCGCGCCCGTGGCGCCCTCTCCGGGCGGGGGTGACGGCTCGCGGCTTTGCAGGCGGCCATCGAGACGGTGGCGGCGGCGGTGCGGCGCAAGGAGAACGGCTGGGCGGACGAGGAGCACCCGCTCGTGTTCCTGTTCCTGGGCTCCAGCGGCATCGGCAAGACGGAGCTGGCCAAGCAGCTGGCGCGCTACATGCACCGCGACGACCCCGCCGCCTTCATCCGGCTGGACATGTCGGAGTACCAGGAGAAGCACGAGGTGGCCAAGCTGATCGGTGCGCCGCCCGGCTACGTGGGCCACGAGGAGGGCGGGCTGCTGACGCGGGCGCTGGCGCGGCGCGCCGACGCCGTCGTGCTGTTCGACGAGGTGGACAAGGCGCACCCCGACGTGCTCACCGTGCTGCTGCAGCTGTTCGACGAGGGCCGCCTCACCGACGGCAAGGGCAAGCTCATCGAATGCAAGAACGCCATCTTCGTGATGACGTCCAACCTGGCGGCTGACGAGATCGCGCAGCACGGGCTGCAGCTGAGGCGCGAGCAGGAGGCGCGCTCGCAGCAGCGCCAGCCGCAGCAGCCGCGCCCGACGCGGCTGCGGCCGACGCGCGTCGAGCACGACCCCGACCCCGACCCCGAGCCCGACCCCGACCCCGACCCCGACCGCGCCGAGGCGGCGCTCGAGGTGTCGCGCCACTTCAAGGACGGCGTGGTGCGGCCCATCCTGAAGCGCCACTTCGGCCGCGACGAGTTCCTCGGCCGCATCAACGAGATCGTGTACTTCCTGCCGTTCTCGCGGCAGGAGCTGCTCACGCTAGTGAACATGGAGCTGAAGCGCTGGGCGGAGAAGGCGCTGGCGCGGCACGCCGTGGAGCTGCAGTGGGAGGGCGGCGTGCTGGGCGCGCTGGCCGACGGCTACGACGTGCACTACGGCGCGCGGTCCATCAAGCACGAGGTGGAGCGGCGCGTCGTCAACCAGATCGCGCTGGCCGCCGAGCGCGGCGCGCTGGCCCGCGGCTGCGCCGTGCTGCTCGCCGAGCGGCGCGGCCGCGTGGCGCTGCTGGTGCGCTGCCCGCCCGCGCGCGACTACACGCCGCTGGACCTGGGCGCCGCCTAGGCGCGGCCTCGGCCCGGCGGCCGCCGCGCGGGCCGCAGTGGCGGCGGCGGAGGGCGCCGGGTGCGATGCCCACAAAACTAGCTACCGATGCGTTGGTCGCCGACTGCAAATGCTTTCAGAAGACTCGAAGGGAGCTAAAAGGAATCTTAACCGACCGATATCGGAGTAGACGATACGCCTCCTCCATCGCGACAGTCACTATCTACATCTCTAACTCCCGGCGAACTGGAACGGAATAACAACTTGTAGCGTTACATTGTTAGTAGTTTCGTTTGCGAATATGTAATAAAACAATATCCACGTCTATAAATAATACCACGCCAGTTTTATTTCCGACTTAGTACCTACGTCTACCTAAAATATAGCTTAACAGTGTCTTCTCTTGTACGTACAATAAGCGTGCGAATGAAACGGTATACCTATTTCGTTGCGGTCCGAGGTCACAAGGACGACTCGCGGCTTACACTATCTTAACAGTATCGTAGGTCTAGTGGTGTGCGTGGGCCGAATATACTATGGAAAACTTTTTGGAACACATAATTTCGCAACGGTTTCGTTGAACGAATGACTTCATATCACGTACAAAATATATTCCTACCTTACATAAATGTACTTAAACATCACTTAATTTTATGTTTTAAAATTGTTTGTCGATATCTACTTAACTAATTGGTGTTCAATAAAATATGTAGGTACTCCTTAAATTTAAATTTGAGATATCAAAACAATTCTGGTTAACATTATACATAAAAAAAAATATATGTACAGTAAATCTAACATAGCATTCTCCTGTTGACAAATGGGATTAGTGCAGTGCTTTAAGTTAAACGACCCATTCACCACCTGCGAGGCAGTCCGGCGCGTAGGCAAGATACTGCTCGCACACTACCCTGCATATGGCTCACGTATGGAGTCTCGCAGGACGCGTAGCAGGATGGCTCGCACGCTACGACTACATTCATAATTCTGCATTACGCGGCAAACGGCAAGGCGGACTGCAATGCAGGATAATGACTGAATAAGAAAAAAAAATTTTTTTTTTGTTTTTTGGCACTATGGCTTCCAAACCTTTGGCCATAGGCAATTTCAATTGGGTTGCCAATTTTTAGCAATTTTTCCAAATACATCTTTGCTTTCATCTTGAGACTTCAGGATAACATTGTCATCGCAGAAATGTCTTTATTGTTGATGTGGGTTTTTGGATATTAATAGGAAATTAAAAAGGGAAAGGAAATCGCGCAATATGTCGCGGAAAAAAAATAAATGCGAACGGAAATTTGGAAAGGTGATCAACAGGGTAGGGTAGGTAGTATATTAAAGATCAAACTAAACAGTGAAGGATGGAAAATATGAAAGGAAATGAGATAGTAATAGTTGAAAATAATGTTAAGTGGATGAATAATAATTTAGTGATTTTACAGATTTTTTGTATGAATTATTTAGGATGATGTTTCCACACCAGAGAAAAGTTCAAACTTATATTTTTTTTTAAATAACAACTTGATTTATTGACAACAACAAAATAATATTTTTTTAGTCATAGAAAAAAGTACATTCTGCATAAAAGCGGTGAATATTGTTATAATTATTAATTTATTATAATATATTGTATTTATACATCGAACACTTGGAAAAAATTCCTTCGATTAAATTCGAAAAAAATGATAGATTCCTCATAGATGGCGCTACGGCTAATAAATGGTTGTTAGAAACCATTAGAAAGAATGGTTGTTAGACACAAAGATCCGACAACAAGCACAGAAAAATTCGTGAGATACGCTGGTTCGTTGCGTGGCTTAGTTGGCATGGCGTCTGCCACGGTTTGCTAGAAGACGTCGGTTCGAATCCGGCCGGATCGAAGGGATTTTTTTCTAAGTGTTAATCTTTGTATTAATAATTACAACAATCTAATGGAGTAACTTCACTAAAAATAATTGAATATCAAGGTGGAGAAACATCCTGACATTCAATAAAATACTCAAACGGTGAATATTATTACACTAATATTATATGAAGTCAACCAATTTACCATAACATAAATAAAAAACAAATAATTATTAGTTTTAGTAAGTGTTCAAAATGCACATCTGCCAAAAGAAGCAGGCTATGTTAGATGGACTTAGTGACGAAGGCGATACGTCCTGGCCACGTCCTGTCATTTATTATAGGGGTTGAACGTACCGTACATTGAGGGTACCTTCCTCTTTTAAATATCTTATTATTTATAAATTATACTAGGGTGCTTTACGAAGCTCAAATTTTACATATTTCAAAAATTGTACGTAGACTGTATAAAACGTTCGTACATTTGTAAATGTCGTTGTAAATAAGGTAAACGCATCCTCATCTTTGCATTAGATACAAGTGCTTTAGTAAAGCTCAGATAGGTTTACCAATCGGTATTCAATTCCGACTCAGGTGTCTAGGGCTATGCTAATGATCATTTATTGTATCCAGAGACAAAAGCATTTCTTTTGTTATTGACATTAAAATATTGTTTATATATTCGTATATTGACTATATTTGTTCAACATTGTCATTACTGGCGTACGATCACCACCTGAAATTTCTAAGTTTATGTGACTGAACTTTTCCAATGGACTATATAAATGAACCAAACGATTAATGTGCGGTTAAATAACTAGTTAACTTTTACGAGTATATTGCGCTAAGTTGATAATACTTTAGAAACAGAAAAAATAAGTGGGACAAATGTTAAGGAACATTAAAGAAATGAGAAATATTTCGTTTGTGATGGTAACTTTGTATGTGAAAATATTAATTGTTTGGTCGGATTGTATGAAAGTGTGTTCTTATTGTGGGCACATTTCCTGGGTACTTCCTGGGTATCGAAGACGATCCATCGGAACTAGACCCTATACGAAAGTCATATAAGTTTTGTAAAGTGAGTGGCGGTTTCTTAAATATTAAAAAAAATGTAGCCTCGGTCCCTAGACATTTGACGCCTGCAGGCAGTGGTTGGAAGGGCCGGATCTACAGTTCGGGAATCGACGGGGTCCCTGCGGCGCGGCTAC